ACCTCAGTGTAGACGTACCCATAGAAGCATTAGCTTCCCTGTCCTCTCCCACAGGCAATAGGAAGTCAACAGTAAGTGAATGGAGGGAAGCAGGACAAGGAGACAGATGTACCTCATGCAAAGTACTCTTTCCTGACAGGTGGTATTGTTAATGTTAGAGAAGTAGAATGGAAAGCTCACTGGATTTCCGTTCCCTTCTTTCATTGTGACACCTCATGGTTTTCTCTCACAGACAGTCAATGCTTCGAGTGCTGGACCTGAGGAACGTACACAATGTGTTCTGGGATGTTTGGCCTGGAGTAGAAGGTTTACAATGCTTAGAAGGGAGTTTCCTTCCTAGATATGCCCAGAGGCAGCTCTTGATGGTGGTGACTGACTTTGACCTACGACTTAACTTGGATGAACACCAAGCATATTTGTTGCAGTGGGCCCAACAGCAAAAAAGTTCTGTGCGGTTGTGCTGTTTGAAGATGACAATCTGTGGGACTTCTTTGGAGATGATCAGAATGGTTATGAAAACTTTCCAGCCTTGCTACATTGAGCAACTGGATCTATCCACAAACTGGAATCTGATCACACTGAGTCGTTTTGCACCTTGGTTTGGTCAGATGAGAAATTTGCGCAAACTCCATGTATCCCACATTTACATGAAGAGGAACAAAGAAGACATAGAGCAGAAGTGCGTTGCCAGGTTCATTTCACAGATATCCAAACTGAACTGTCTCCAGAATCTCTCCATGAATGGTGTCTACATTTCTAGTGAGCGCATGAAACAGTTGTTCAGGTAAGAAAAGATAGAGAGCTGTTTATGCTACCACTGGAACCCTCCACTAATATCATATTGATTAGTGGACACCTGAGATAGGGCAGCCCTGTGAATTTCACTGAGTCACATGGAGTCTCTTTGTATGTGTTATGTATACTTCCTTGGGGTCCAGCTAACCCGGATGAGAAGGGAACAGTAGGGAACAGGGGGTATTAAGGTTGGAAGAGTCATGCCTATAGAGGTTACATGGGTATCTCTGTTGTTGTATCTTTGTGAACAGTAACCCATTTACAGTTTTCATGTGGAGACTCTGTCATGTTTTAACTGACAATGGAGGGAGGAATCTTTTCAGCATAGCTATGTTCTCAGCAGATTGGAAATTTGTGCATGCACACATTAAGATACATGGGACATGGTTAAATTTAGGATGTAGATGTATTTATTTGGGAGAAGTCACTTACATAAGAAACCGATGACCCTCAAGTTGCAGTTCCCTATTTCCACACCTAGGCTGCTCTCGGAGACTCAACGAGAACCAAGAAACAGCAAGCCCGTCCCTGCCCTCAGACCAAATACCACACACTCACATATGCACCTGCAAATGGAAATAGACTATATGGGGGCAATGAGACTTCAGTGACTCCTGTTAGGCACAGGATGAGAGGATGCAGGAACAATTTGAGACAAGGCATTGCTGGTTGTGAATTTCCAGGCTGTATTGGCCTTCTCTGGTTCTCTGACATAATGAGAAGAAGAAGCTGTAATGCTGTGATCTGAGCCCATCAAATGCGACAGCTATGGTCTCCAGTAGGCAATGGTGTGACTCTAGTGAGGAGACAGACACCAACAGGGTGATATTTGGGTCTTGAGATCAAACATAAAACAAACTCATGTTGCTTCAGTGGTTCCCATGCTGGCTGACTATGTATCATGTGGGTTAAGGGTGAAGTCAGCAATGAGTTGCAAACCCCCAATCAGATAAGGCCTTCATAATATTGGGCTATAGGTGAGCCCGTACACTATTTCTTGTCATTAGGGATTGGTTTGGGAAGACACAATCTACAGTGAATGGGGCCATTCCTTGGCTAGTTGTTCTATATTCTCCAAAATAGCTGAGTGAGCATGACCTGGAGAGGAAGTCTGTAAGTCACATCTGTGAGGCTTCTCTCTATATATCCTGCTTCCAGATTGCGGCCAAGTTTGAGTCACTGTCCTTACTTGCCCCTGTGATGGATAATATATGTCTAATATTCAAACCAAAAAACCTGTCATCTCCTAATTCCTTTGGGGTGTTATACATTTTATCATAGCAATATTACCCAAAACTAAGATATCCTCTCTGTAGCACAGTGGAAATTATAATGCTCTACCATACCATGTTAAAGAACCCATCTCTTGTTATTTCCCTAGATGCTTGAAGAGTCCCTTGGAGACACTGTCCATCAATCTCTGCATGTTGTCCCAGGCAGACATGAAACACCTGTCCCAGTGTCAGTGGATTTTTCAGTTGAAGCACCTGCAACTCCATGCTGTACCACTATTTCACTTAAGTACCATACATCTCCAATTTCTTCTTGAGCATATAGCAGACACTTTGGAGATCTTGGAGTTAGAGGACTGCACGATTGGAGACTCTCAAATCAGTGCTCTCCTGCCTGCCCTGAGAAAGTGCTCCAAGCTCACCAGGGTCAACTTGTATGACAACGCCATTTCCAATTCAGTGATGAAGGAATTTCTACAAGGTATGAGCAATATCAGCACATTGACCGAGGAGTTCTACCCTGCTCCACTGGAATGCTATGATGAACTGGGTCATATCCTAGTGGAGAAATTGGCCAAACTATGTCCCGATCTCCTGGATATACTCAGGCACAAAAGACACCCCAAGAATGTCTCCTTTGGTACACACATCTGCCCTCAATGTTTTCAGCGATGTGTCTATGACGTGAAGACAAGACTGTGTCACTGTTTCTCATAAAGAGAAGTACGTTGCTCCTGAATTCTGAAGACTCAAAGTCTGAAGATAGGACTTTCAAGAAGATGCTGAACAACATGTGGTTTCTGATACTTTTGGATGCTTCAGGAACAGCTTAATATTCAGGCCACATGTGCTAACTTGATGAACACTGGGACCATGGAAACAGGTGCTGTCTTGTAGAATCAGAACTACAGATCTGCACAATGAAATGTTCACCTCTCGAGATAGGTTCACCAGTGTCTTCTGCCCTGCATGGTAGTTGTGTACATATTATAACATTTGGAACCTGGATGTTTTCCTCTGGTACCATACTCAGTCATTTACCTCAGTTTTTTCATTAAAACTAAGGATGTGACCTCATCTAACATTATCATGGAAATTGTATTCCATGAAGTGTGCCATCAAAAGTAACTTGGATCACTTTGGACAGTGTCATCCACTTTTTACCTCCTATAGTTTCATGCTTTCGTGGATTATATGCATACAGTTGTCAAACCAAAGTCATCAGTGCAGACTCCATTTCCAATGATATTTTATTGGGCTATGGAGGGAACTAAAGCCAAGATCGTCTTATAAGAGGCAATGTGAATATACCCAAGCTGGTTGAGGTGAAAATCCTTACCAAGAGACTGACTGCACCTGACAGAAGGGTTTTCAATACTAAGGTGTAACCGGTGCATTTATTTGTTAAGGGAAGTCCAATGAAGTTATTTGTATCCCTTTTTTCACAGTGTCAAATACAAATAAATTGTTTTGTACCTTACACTCTATTCTCTTTGTTTTTATTAAAAATATACACTAAAAATATTTTTATTCAAGTTCCCTCTACTTCTTATGTGTGGCCTACTGTGTCGTTACCAGTACCAAATCCTTTAGGAAATGAAGAGTATAATTATATCCTAGTCTTTGGAAGAAACACCTTTGCTTGCTTTATGTTCCATTGTATCCTCTGTTAAGAAAACAATTATTTCTATGTCAAGTGTGCACTGCATAATTTTGGAAAGCAAAATTTCACCAAGATAACATTTCAGGTTTATTATTTGGCTTTCTTTTTGCATTAAACTAGTGATTTTAGTTCATTTGTTATTCATGTGTTTCATGTCTATGTAGTCTCCGTCTTCCTACACACCCGAAGAGGGCACCAGATCTCATAATGGATGGTTGTGAGCCAGTATGTGGGTGCTGGGAATTGAACTCAGCATCTCTGGAAGAGCAGTGAAGTGCTCTTAACCACTGAGACACCTCTCCAACCCCCTTAAGCTACTCATTTTGCTCAGTCTCCTTTCCTCCTCCCCTCTACATTTTCACCCTCCTACTGTCCTCACACTCCCAAATTTCAGGAAATCTTGTCTTGTTTCCCATCCTAGGCAGATGTCTCTAGGTCTCCTTTTATTATTTAAATTAAAAACAATCTTGTTCATACCATTTCCAATTCCCTCTCTCTAATCCTCCAAATTCCCCCACCATCTCATCATTTCACATAAAATCCACTCCTCAGGGAGGGTCAGGCCTCCCATGACTGATATTCAAATCTGTCAAATGCCAGAATTGTTTTTAAGCCAATAATGGCTCCCACTATTGAGATATCCCTGACCTTACTCTCCTTCTCTGTTCTTCACCCACCTGGACCTTCCTGATCCCTCATGTTCTCCTAAAACTCCAATTCCCATCCACTCTCTCCTATGTCTTGGATCCCCAGTTTCTTCCTCCTACTGCCCCCTTCCTCTCAATTTATTCAGGAGATCTTGTCTATTTACCTGTCTCAGGTGATCATGTTTGTGTCTCTTATGGTCCTCCCTGTTCCCTAGCATCTCTGGGCTTGTGGACTGTATGGTGGCTATCCTTTGTTCTATGTCTAATATCCACTTATGAGTGAGTAAATACTATGTTTGACCTTCCGTATCTGGGTTACCTCAAACAGAGTGGTTTCCTATAGTTCCATCTATTTGCCTCCAAGTTCCAAATTTCAATATTTTTTACAGCTGAGTGGTATTCTATTATGTAAATATTCCACATTCCCTGTATCCTTTCATCAGTTGAGTTTCATCAAGGTTGTTTTCAGGTTCTTCGTGTTACAAATAATGCTGCTGTGAACTCACTTGAACAAATGTCTTTGTGGTATGAATCTCTGTGAGTTTGAGACCAGCTTGGTCTACAAGAGCTAGTTCCAGGACAGCCTCCAAAGTGACAGAGAAACCCTGTCTCGAAAAATAAACAAAAATAAGAGAGAAAAGGAGAAATAGAATAGCTGGGTGTAGTGGCACACACCCTTAACCCCAGTACTCAGGAAGCAGAGGCAAGCAGCTCTCGGTGACTTCAGCCTGGTGTACAGAGTGATTTCAAGAGCAGCTAAAGTTACACAGAGAAACCCTGTCTCATAAAACGAAAATAAAAAAGTAAAAGAAATAGAATAGTTAAAAGCCACATAAAGATGGAAAATACACGGAAAGTCTGGATACTATATGCTCTATTGTTGTCTTAAAATTGTTTATTGCTGAGGAAGTAGCAACAACTGCTAACAGACTTTTGATTATCAATGCTGCTACAGTAATCCAACTTATATATTTTAAAACTGCTTTGACTTCAAAATTTAAGTCTAAGGACAGGCTACTTGGAAAAAGATGTCTTGCTTGTGCTTTCAAAACCCCTAAAGCAGTGGCCCAAATTATCCCACAATCCAAACAGGTGACATGATGCAGCCATAGATGACTTTGGCTAGATTCGTGTGTTTTTTTCATGATCCCCATGGTATGGATATTGCCCCCAACCAGCAGGAATGAATTTGGCATGAACGACTCAAAAATTCCCAAATGTGTTTATGAATATTTGTTTTCATTTAAATGGGTTTGGTTATATATGTTAATGATTACAGTCAATCTTTTTTTAAAGAAAAAGGGGAAATAGGATATAGGAATGAATACTTTGCATTGGTATGGATTTTCATTTGTTGATACCTATTTAAAGTCAATTTCATGACATGTAAATTTCTCCTCTTGTTTAGGTATTGTGTTTATACAGATCTTTTAAAATGATATGCACTTTTAAATACAGATTATATAGTCACCTATAATAGTCACAACCTACAGTTAGGTTAGTTAGGTTTTCTAGATATACATAGATGTATTTGAGATGTTCAGGAAAAATCAACTATCTATAATCAATATGAAGACACCATGGAATACATTGGATCTGGATTAGAAACAAGGAAATTTATCGTTTCAAAAGTATCTTCAGAACTTTCTTCATTTCTTTCTGTAGCTGTGCAATTAATGGGATATTGCTTAAATGAGTTCCGTAAGTATTCCACCACAAAGGGAGCTTTACAGACATGGTGTAGTGCAGGAGACAATAGCATTAGTGACAAAATGCAATTTGACAAGTTTTTTTCCACAATTATTTCTAAGCCACACCAGAGAGAAAATATTAATTCTTTTGATTACAAACCCAGAATTTGTGAAACTTAATGAAGGAATTTATGAAATGATCCTAACTTTAGCTCCTCAAAGAGCTTAGGTGCCTATATGGATCAACAAGGAACTGTAGGTCAAGGCCACATTTGCATATCCATCCTCCTGTAACCAAAACCATAAGAAAACAAAACAAAAAACCCAAGTAAATCAAAACCCAAGCAATAATGGACATTTTCCATTAAAACAAAACTACACCAGGCAACAACACCCACAAATCTCACAGATTCCATCTTCATTTTTAATTAACTATTATTAGCAGAAATAGCTGTCAACTCACCAAGTAACAGTCCTTTGAGAGGATGAGTGACTTACCTTATCAGGACATTGCTGACAGTAATACGAGGCAGAGTGATTTTAGGCAAAGGTACACTCAGGGCATTCTAGGATTCCTCTGACCCTCTTAAACTACTTTTTCTTCACAGATTCTCCTTTTACTTTAAATGAATTTTTATTTAAATTAAAAAAATAATATTTTACATTCCAATCCCAGTTTCCACTCCCTTCTGTCCTCCCCATTTCCCCACCTGCCAGGGTCCAACTGTATAAGTCCCACACTACAAAGGCCATCTATTCCCAACTGATGTTTTGGGGCTGTAATCAAAGCCATCTGAACAGCCCCGGGTCCATCCATGAGTGGGAGAGTGTGGACGTGGGGAAGGTCATAACCCAATGGCAATAAGGAGAAGGCACAGACATTTTGTTATTTCAGTAGGGCTCTCAGGCCAGGATGGAGTCTGGAGTGCACGGTTTATCCAAGCATCCTCTTCAAAAGCTTTCCAACAGTGTGGTTATATCAGAAGATATTTTTATCATGAATAAAGCTGATATCAAAAATACCATTTAATCTTAGAGGCACACCTAAAATTTCATGTCCTCAACAGCCTCTCACCAGTCCCTAGGCATGTATGGAAGCCCTCAGAATAGGTGTGGGCCTACCCAAGGACTAAGTCGGTTGTTATACAAACTAGGAGACATTCTCCAGTGAGGCCAAGCCATCCAGTGGTAACTAGGCAGAGGTATAAGAGACAACGTGAGATTCGAGCAACTGGATGGAGCTTGAGTCGTGTTTCCCAAAATATAATAATCAATCGTTTTAGGACACTGACACCCACCAAATCCCCACACAACCCCAATCCACGGGAAGGTTATGCCTTACATGGGGATCTATAAAATTCTGTGACATCATTTGAGACAAGACCTATGCCATCCATTGCGTTTCTAGCCTGACAGAGTATCCCTCCATGTAGAATGGGCTCCCAAAGTCAATTCCTGCAATAGAAATAAATACTGATCCCCTTGCCAGAGGCCACATAGACAGCCCAGACACCCCAAAATGAAAAACATTTTTAGGGAGCATGGTTCAGTATTGCACCGGTTCCTCAGCAGTCACTCTATGGTCTGTGAGCTCCCACATGCTCTGTTCAGCTGTTTCTGTGGGTTTCCTCAGCATGATTTTGACCCATTTGCCCATCACACCTCCCTCTCTGTAAGTGGATTCCAGGATTTTGGCTCAGTACCTAGCTGTTAGTC